TCTAATTCACTTGATTCCATTCCTCTAAGAGAAGAATTTATTTCTTGAATAATATACTTTTGTTGTAATTCATACCCAAAATAGTTTGCATCACAAATTACATCAATGCAAACACTTGCAAATGCAATATTATTTTTAGTAGTTTCATCAGGAAAAACTTGCTTAAGAACAGCAAGTCACCAGGTAAAGCTTGAATTATCTGAATTTTTTGGATTTTCTAATTCATTAAAACATAATTGAATTGTTTCTTTTTGTTTTTATGTATTTACTTGGTCAGCTGATGGGCGTGCTTGCTCAATTGGTAGAAATCGATCTCTGCTAAATACTTCTGTTAATGCTTTTTTTACCTTAATTTTTATTTCACTTTGATATTCCTGGGCAATTTCTTTTGCCTAATGTAAAAAAAAAAGCAAGTGATTAATAATACTAAAAATAAAAATAAACATAAATTTTAATTTAATAAAAACTTACTATTATTCCATAAATTTTTCCATAAAAGATTTATGAAAACAGCATCTAATTGGCCTTTATTATGAATTTCAAGTGCTATTTTAGATACAATTTCAAGCTGCTCATTTGATGGATACTTAATAGTATTCATTTTTTTACGAATTGCTTTATAAATAGTTCTCTACAATAAAAAAAATTATTTAATAAAAAATATATTAAATATGTAATCTATTTTAATATATACGTATACTAACATAAAATCATTGCTTTTTGTGAGAATATGTTTGGCTTGTAAAAGTTTTTTGCTGTTGTTTTATAAATTCGTATATTTCAGTTTGTTCTTTCTTTATTTCATTAACTGTATCTGTAAGTGTATTTATAACTGTATGAAGAGATTCAAGCGATCCAATTATAGCTTCTTCATTATAACAGTTATCTATTATTATATATAATAAAGATTAAATTTGTAACCTTATATTAAAAATTATACAAATATATAAAATAAATTTACCGGATCTAATTCTTTTTGGTTCTTTATTAATAAATTTGCTTTTTCTTTTATATAAATTATTAGTATTTAAAATACTTTCTAGATTATTATCCAAATTGATATGATATTGACTATTAAAAGTTTCAAAATTATAATCTTCATCAATAAATTGAGGTTCGCTATTTCTTTGAGCTTCATTGTTTCTATAAGCTTCATTGTTTCTTTGAGCTTCATTATTTCTTTGAGCTTCATTACTTCTTTGAGCTTCATTGTTTTTTTGAGATTCATTACTTCTTTGAACTTTACTATTTTTTTGAGTTTCACTATTTTTTCGATCTTTACTATTTCTTTGAACTTTACTATTTCTTTGAACTTCATGATTTAAAGAGTTATTTGAAACTCTTGTTTGTAATATACTTCTAGTACTAGAAGCAGATTGAATAGGTGTTTGAGATCTTCTTGTTGGTTTTAATTTTAAATTACGTATATTCAATTTATTGCACTTCATAATTGTAATCTAAAAAACAATAAAATAATTATAAATACAATAAATTAATAAATAACAAATAACTAAAATACTTACAAATAAATAAGAACAATAAATAAATATAAAATTAATAAATATTAAATAACCAAAATACTTACAAATAAATAAGAATGATAAATAAATATAATTAAAAAAGTAGAGTAATAATTAATAATAAACTTAAATTTATATCATAGATTAATTAATAACTGTAGTATAAAATCAAACTTGATAATTTGCTTTTATGAATCAATTTTTTTTTTAAAAAAAATGTATTATTGTAAAATATCTGGATGCAATAAAAAATTTTCAACTACTCAAGGACTTGGTAGTCATGAAAATTGGCATAAAACAAATGAAATACAAAATAAAATAAATCATAGTGAAGAAAGTTTTATTATTCAACAAAGTCTATTAAAAGCTATTAATAATGAATTAGAATTACAAACAAATAAAAATAGTCCAAATAAAAATATTTTGGAATTACAATCTTCAAAAATAAGCATTAGAAATCTTGCAATTGTAATTTTATTTATAAATAATATTTTTATAATAATCTATTTAATATTAAATTTTAATTTTTAATTTTTATTTTTTAGACTAGAAAATCAGGTAAATTACAAACAAAACTAATTCAAACAAATGAATTATCAGAAATGAATCAAACTGAATTAAATAATTCAAGTGATAATAAAAGTATTATATCTGAATCTTTAGATATATTTAATATTTCAATTATATTAAATAAGCAAAATTATGGTTTTTTTGATTTTTTAAAAACCACTGCACTAGAACAATCAATTGAATGGCAATCAAATTTTCCTAACAACACTTATGCAGATTTTATGAAACTTATAATTAATAATAACCTTTTAAATACTATTGGTGATGCAATTATTAAATTTTTTAATAAGTATACAAATAGAATTGATAAGCCACTCCTATCATTAACACAACAAGGTAAAAGTTATATTGACAAAATAGAACAAACTATTCATGATTTTCCAAATGAAATTATATTTGAGTTTGAAGAGAAAAAATATTTAATGAATTATAAAAATATATTTGATGGTGTAAAAAAGCTTCTTTCTAAAGAAGATATTGCTAATTCATGTATTTTTGATTATCAACCAATATATAAAAATTATAATGTAAGTTTAAATTTTAATATTTTATTTAATATACAACAATTCTTATTACTAATATATATTTTATTTTATTAAATTAACTAAGTGATGTTATTCTGAACTTTATAATAGCATTTGGTGGGAAAAGATTTATTACAAGTTACCTATTGGAGCAAAGCCACTTGCAATTATTTTATATAGTGATTCAACTACTTGTGATAAATTTGGAAAAACATCAAAGTATCCAATTTATATGACTTTAGACAATAGTCCAATTAGTAGAAGAAATTAACAAGATGTTAAAATATTACTTGGATTTCTTCCTATTTTAACTTCTATTAATAAAAATTTAGAAAAATTTTGAATAGCAACAAAACAAATATTTCACAAAGCAATTGCTAGTATTCTTAAGCTATTACATACACAATATGAAAAAGGTGTTTATTTATATATTAATAGACAAAGGCAATGGTTATTTATATATTTATCTTACATATATCTGATTGGCTTGAAGCAAATATGTGTTGTCTAACATATTCTTCACCTCAAGCTCAATATCCATGTTACTTTTGTTTACTTGAAAAAAAAGACCTTAATAATTTTAATTTAAAAAAAAAGGATATAATTTTATGTACAGAAATTAACATGAAAGAAATTTTATAAAAAGGACTATCTAAAAACTATTCAATATATAATATAGATAATGCATTTTGGAATCATCAAAATTTTAATATTTATAGTGCAACAATTCTAGACCGCATGCATCATTTTGATTTAGGACTTTTTAAACATCAAATTGAATTTACTTGCACTTTATTAAAGGATCAATTAGGAAAGTCTATTTTACAAAAATTAGATAAACGTTTAGCACAAATACCAAGATTTCATAATTTACATATTTTTAAACATAGGATAAGTAATATTTTACAATTTACAGCTTCAAATTATCGTGATATGATGAAAATATTTGTTTTTGCATTAGATGGGCTTATAAATTCTAATTTAAAACTTAATGAAACTATTTGGGGTATGAATTACAACAAAAGTATATTATTCAAGAAATAAATTCTTCTCTTAGAGGAATGGAATCAAGTGAATTAGA